AGGATAATATTCGTTTGCGAAATTCTGATAGGTAAATACATTGTATTTATTTTGAAAAAAATAAACACATTTTATTTCTTTCTGTATTATGATGCAATTGTATTTTTAACTCTCAGGATTGGACAATTACACTCCAAATATGTTATTGTTTTTATCCCGAAGGAAAGTTTAAAAAAAATAATAATGGATGTTTTAATTCGATTCAGAAGCTATTAAATTAGATCTTAGCAACGATATCGATGAGCCCGAAAATCCTTATGACGGTATCTCTAAATATTTGTCCAAACTATTCCTGACCCTTCTGCAGCATCGTATACCCCCTTTCCCCAAGGGGTGCCCCGATCAAACCGACAAAACCCCGTATAACATAAAGTTGATAGACGAAAACCTGTCCAAGACCATGGACCAAAGCGCGTTATACTTATTTTACGCCTACATCAATTTACCGAGCAGCGCGACACGCAGAAGCGACGATAAAATTTGTTACGAAAAATTGGACAGGGGTTCGACCATGAAATGGATGTACAATATTCTCGTGGATATTTTGCTCTCTATGCGCGACCCGCCCGACTTCAAGGACGCCAACAGGAGACTCATGATAAGCTCCGTATTCGAAATAGCGCTGAGATTTATCGTGTACGGAAAGCCCCGCGGCGATTCCGACAAAACGTCGAATTTCATTATCGGTGATTATACCAACATTCATGAGTATGATCGTATCCTCTTCTGTGTTTTGTTTTGTTTATTTAATAATATATTGTGCTAAGCTTCAATTACGTTTTCTGTCAGAAAATGGATATTTTATTTTGGAAAACTCATTTATTGGAGTAGTGGATGCAAAATGGCTCAATTAAAAATGGCTACACTCAATATTTTAGCTAGATAAATATTGCCTTTAGATTTCACTAATAGATTTCCAAAATCTGAATAAAATACTGAGCTGGCTGCTCTAATGGAGCTGATTAACATCATTACAGAAATCCATTCGAGTATATCTTGAATTAGCTACCTTATTAATGTCAGATAATTTTGCCATCTGATATTTCTAATGCCGTAAATATTTCTAAAAAAGTCAGAACTTTATGAATATATTTTTTTAACGCCATATTAGCCATGTTTAAGAATTAACAGTTTTATGAGTGGATAAAAAATAAATATTTATTAAAAAATAAATTTTCTTATTGATTTTTTTAATTTACAAAAAACTTTTATATATCATATAAAATGTATTTATCAATGAGATATACAAATTTTTAATACTTTAAATGGTGTTTCAAACTATTAAAATATAAAACTTCAATATATTAATTTTATTTTTTTCCTTTTCTGGTGGTAAGCTCCTTCAATATCTCTCTCCACTTAGTGTTATTCGTGCTATCTCTATTATCATCTTTCATTTTGGTTTATTGGGCAAGTATCCTAGCACCGGCTGTCCAAGCATGTCGGTGACTAGGGTGGCATTTCTAAGCTCAGAAATTCATCTTATCATATGTCTTTACATTAATATATAATATTTAATGATTTTTACTTTGTGTATCTATTATAAATAATCATCATAATTTAATATAAGCCTATGAAATACAATTTAAAATAAATTATTAACAGGAATGCAAAAACCATTCTTTTACATCATTTAAACTGTCAAAAAATGACGAAATTACAAAAACTCAAAAAAAAAGGAAATATAAATGACAAACTAGAGAACCAAATAAAAAGACCTAGGCAATGATCTAAATATAGAAATAATTTATTCAAATCACAAATATCATAAAATCTTCTTCTTTATTAGTAATTCATCAAAAAAAATTACAATTAATTTTCAAAAAAATATTAATAATCATTTTCATAAAAAATTAATAATGTAAAAGAATCACTTTTTTTCAAAAACGATAAAAAAAATATCTAATTTAAAATGATTGACATTTTATCTATATAAAAAAAATAGATAAAAAAATATATCATATAAAATGATTGACATTTTAACTATATTAAAAAAAAGTATCATTTATGACAAGCCACCCCTTTATGGGCCAATGGCATGTACATAAAACAAAATATAAATGCCTATTATTACTAATTTTCCGCTATGTAAAATTTCGCGATATATACAATCAGAATCCTCAGATGTGAATATCTCGGACTTTGTGGGAGTCGTCACGGTAGCAGTAATTGATTCTCCCACAAATCCATTGCATCATGATGTTGTAAGACCGTCGAGGATGCTGATGTTGACGGAGCGGGCTCATGAAGAGTGCTGATCACCCTCTTGAGAATGTCCTCTGTCGGTGGGGTTGATGTGATCCTGGATCGACTACTGGACGTTCCTATTAATTCGCCTCTGTTGGCCGACGGAGCCGGATGAACGGGAGGAAACGACGATTGAACTTGCGTTGGTTCGTCCAGCCTTCGTCTATTATTTCTGGCGGCTCTGCCCGTAGAATTGGTATGGATCGTAGCTAGGGGTTGGCGAGAATCTCTACCCAAAACGTGACACTGGCTGCGGATATGCCAGTCGCTGTTGCAGTTGAAGCATCTTCGCTTCCTGGGCCCTCCGGATGTCATAGCATTTTCTTGAGATATAGGAGACTGGATGGTCATCCCGGTATTTTTAGGTATGAGAGTCACTTGTAGGTAACAGGAGCCGAAATCGATCAACTGACTGTTAGTTTGCATGTTGACGATCTTTTGCGGTTGATGAATATTCTCAAGAAAATTGTATGTCGGTTAAGAAAATTGATTAATACACCAACAGATAAACTTATTCTATCAATATAAATTATTATTTCTTCTTTCTCTTTTTTTGAAATGTGGAGGGGAAAAACAAAACTTTTTTAGGAAAAAACTTTAATTAAAAATTTTAAAAAAAAAACTTTTATGAATATAGATATGGAAAAATTTTCATATATATAGTGTGTATTTGTATAAAAAAAAATTATTATAATATTATTAAAAAAAATTTATGGTATAGTGCAAACTAATAATAAAATCTTCTTCTTTATTAGCAATTCAACAAAAAAAAATTACAATTAATTTCAAAAAAATATTAATAATCATTTTCATAAAAAATTAATGATGTAAAAGAATGGTTTTTGCAGTTTTCATATAAAAAATTAATTATCTAAAAAAAATCAGTTTTTTTCAAAAACGATAAAAAAATATCTAATTTCAAATGATTGAAATTTTAACTATATTAAAAAAAGTATCATTTATGACAAGAAATACTTATAGTTACATTTATTATATAAAATAAATATTACAATCAAATATCCCTTTAAATTAGAACTTGAAGATTTCGAAACCGATACTAAACTTTTACAGGACAAATTTTACACATGGCCAGGGATAGAAATAGTTTATTAAATATAGGATGTTACTGTAAAGTAATTATTATTTTTAGGTAGGCCATGGAAGTTAATTCATCCGATTCTCAATTTTCAGAATCAGATGATGAAATAACAACATCCATATTTACGCTAAACTGTAAATAATCATATTTAAATTAATAAACTTATCCTATATGACAGAAATACTGGCTGGTTAAAAAAAAAATACAAATGGTGATAAACTCTTTTTTTTACTTAAAAAATTTGGATTAAATATCAAATTAATATTTTTTTTATTTTTCAAATGAATAAAAATAAGAAGATTTTTTTAGGATTGAACGAACGTAAAAAACGAAAGTGTTCGTCTAAAAAAAAGAACTTCGTTCACGAATGCGTTCGTTTACAATTTTAGAAATTTCAAACCAATTTTTCTCTTGATTCAAAGGCAGCAACTTCTTTAAATTTTAGAGCGGCCAAAATAGAATGATTTTAAAATTGAAAAAAAAGTCATACAAATGCCACAGAAACGCAACCACATTGAAACGAACATAAAGTAGTAAAAAAATTTAGATAAATTAAAACTTACGTTTTGTAGTTTTGGAAGACCTTGATCTTTTGTTTTTGCGTGAAGTGTTTCTAACTTCCGCATTTCTGACAATTTTACTGTGAACATCTGCGTATTAATGGTTATTGCTCTTTTATCCTTTAATATAAGAGGCGAGGCTATAATCAAAAAATTTATATGAAAAAAAAATCTATACGATAAATATAAATCAAGAGTATTTCAGGAATTCGTGGCAAAATTGCCTTATATGTCGGGGAAAAAAATCTTTCTGAAGATCATGAAAGTTGAATGGAGTTACAAGATGAAATTTGATGGAAAATCCTGTTTGAGCATTCTCAAAAATATCTTCCGAGATTAAGAATCCTATTATGTAATTTTGAAGAGCATTTTTAAACTACTTGATATGATAGGATTCCGACAACGTTGCCTTTTAAAATGATTTTGATCTTTAGAAATTGGCTGAATTCCATGGCACTAAAGCATGCACCAATCGAATCGGTTAAAGCCTTAAGACATTATCTACCTACTATGTAAATATTAACAATACAATATAACCCCATAAGGAATTTCTTTGTACATAAGCAGCGACCTCTTCCACAAAAAATGACCATTGATTCCCCCCCCCCCCACTTTTCCTGCATCATCTCCTTAGCCATTGTTAAATTGCCCAAAATTAAACCATCAAAATGGCCTTAGCCGAGTTTTGTCCAAAATTAGGTGATTTAACAACACAAATTATTTGCATAAAAAGGGTGTCTTTTAAATAGTCGAAATCTTGAGCATTTTTTAGGGTATGCCGACTGACGATTCATTCATTCATTAAAATGCATTTTTTAAGCGTCGTTTAAAGCAAATTAGCTGGACCCGCCATTTTGGTAACACATATGGTAATTATTCTCGTGTTATAAAACTACTATTAAATTGATAACTTGCTTCCTTATTATCTCGATGATCCTGTAATTCTTTAATAAAGTTTGCATCAGATATAGGAATAAATTAGGCCTCTCGTTTACAATTTTATTAATGATTAGTGTAACCAAGATGTCGTCTCCAGCTGATTTGCATTGATTTACACTTTTCAATGATTGATTCGTCAGTCTAGGTATCATATTATGTCATTGGGGTATGCTCTATACCTCGATGACAAATATCTTAGTGGGCGGCAACAGTTATTACTATTGGTTTGTCTCAAGATCAAAATTAAGATTCTGATAGTTCTTTGTATCACTTTCACTATATATAATAATGCATAATATAATTATTTGTTTTATATACTAATACTATGCTGATAATGGATTTATTTAAATTAAAAAAAAAAATTATGATAGTTTTACCAAGGATTTGTTATCAAATGTTGGGATGGTTAGCGCCAAGACTTGCTGTAACCAATGCGGCAACACGTCAATCCAGGATATCAAATCAAGAAACAGGTATGCCGATAAAGAACTCGTAGACAAGTGCGACATCGTTTTGACGGACATCGAAAATTTTTTGTACAATGTAAAAACGAATCTATTTCTTTTTTTTACTTGTCGATAATTTTGTTTGAATTTTTGGGGATAGTACGGGCAAATTTATCCATTCATTTAATAACGCCTTATCTTCTGCTTGCGTTGAAAATTTTATTTTTTTAAAAAAATTTTAAATTATTTGATGGCGTTATTCTTCTGGCATTTCCAGGTTTACCAGGGTATCCCTTCTGATCTTCCTTCTCCATTTTGGTCGGTCCTGATTATCACTATTTGTTAGATCCATTTTTTTTATTCATGTGTCAACTTGGATATTCTTCAAAATTTTGATGCATTAACTTCCATCGATTTGCATCTCTTTACCCAGTCCAGTGACATATAATAATAACTAAACTGACGATGCGGTTGAATGCAAATCAGCTGGACCCGCCATTTTGGTAACCCATATAGTAATTATTCTCGTGTTAAAAACTACAATTAAATTGATAACTAGCTTCCTTATTATCTCGATGATCAGACAATTCTTTGATCAAATTTGCGTCAGACATAGGAATAAATTGGCCTCTAGTTTAAAACCTTTAATAATGAAGGGTAACTAAAATGGCGTCCCCAGCTGTTTTCATTGATGCACACTTTTAATGAATGCATCATCAGTCTAGGTATTATTATATGTCATTGACCAAAAGTCATCCTTAAATAATAAAGTTTTGATTAATATCATATTTTTAATATCTTTTAGATCAAAGAAAAGAATCATGACCTGAATATGAACGACGTTATAGATATCTACGAAAATGCCAAAATTTGCTTTAAAGTTATTATTATTATTATCATCATCATTATTTGAAACGATTTAAGACTACCTAATTACTAAGAATATATTTGAAGTCAATCACATTTGTTTCTAACAAACATTTACAAGTTCGAAATCAATTGGCGGCAATATTAAAAATTACGACAAACGATTAAGTCTAGCTTTTCCTTAAATTTTAGTGTTGTAAAGGCTCGTTTTGAGCCGATTTTTCAAAACAGCTGACTCAATATTTTAGCCAGAAATGGTTAAAGCCTCGAGATTTGGCTAATAGATGTCTAAACCTTTATTCCTTCTATGAGAAATATCTTCAGGCTCGCGTCATATTTTTCTGGATGAAATATTGTGTCAGCTGTTTAGAAAAATCGGCTCAAAACGAACCGTTCAACAACACTACGTAAATTGTTTAAGTACATCTTGCACTACGTTGCATTCACGGTTAGCTCGAATTCTCTGCGAATTTTTCAAAAAAAAAAAATAATGTAAAATTATTATTATTTATATCATATTTTGTATACTTCGCAGTGAATTCGCGAAAAATTTGAATTCAGGGTTAAGAAGAAATTGGAAGAATACTAAATCAATAATATCGTCCAATTTAAATTACCGCTATTCACTACAGGGGGGGGGGGGGTGGCAATGTTCATCATACAGTATACTTTGAAGTAATAATAATATTTTGTCTGCATATTAATAAAGATGAAATAACGATACCACTCACTATTATCTAGTTTCTTTATATTCTATGTAATTCTGTTTATTTATTTTTTCGAATTACGCAGCTAAAAAGTTCCAACCAAATGGAACTCTTGAATAACCAATCAGCTCTGATACAGGGATATCAAAAAACTTTAAATTCTCACCAGACCTCTTTAATCGAACACGAAACGGAAGTAAATTTAATACATTTCCTATTTATTTATTTTTTTCTATTTTTTTATTAAATATTTATCGACATCTTAAAACGGCTCTGATTTTAAATTAGGATTTTCGCTAAAATGTTATTACTCAAGCTTCTTGATTTCGTTAGTAGATGTCTAATCGTTTATGCTAACTAGAAGCAAAATTTCTACGCATTAATATATTATTTTTTGGATAAAATATTGATTGATAGATAGATATATTGATTGATTGATAAATTGATACACAGACAAACAAGTTTAATCATTATTATAAATATAAGTGTGTGTTTTTAAAAAAAAAAAATTAATCTTAAATGATATTTAATATAGATAAGAAAATACCGAGACATGATAAAGCAAATAGAAGGGGAAAAAATATCGCAGGCCTCGGAAATCGAATCCTCCAAGAAGAATTGTGACGAGTTGGCGCAAAAATTTAACGAAGAAAATGGGAGGAATAAAAAATTGTCCGCTAATTTGGAAGGGATTAGGGAAAGTCTGAACATGGAAATTAATAAGTTACTTATATTTGTATAAATTTTATTAACTTAAATCTTTCTTTCTTTCTTCATGGGTATAACGTTTTACATATATTTCTAATCGCTATGATATTTGATTCCAAGCAGATGTTCCCTTTTTGGAACAACAAGCCTTATGCAAATTACAAAAATTGTTAATTTTATTTATTTTTTTGTAACCAACGAAAGAAAAGAAACGATACGAAAAAATTTGGAATCATTTAAAATCGAATACGATACGCTAAACGAAATGCACCAGGTGCTTCTCAAGCATTACGACAACGCTAAAGTGCAGCAAGAAAAGTTTCAACGAATATATTATTTTTTATGATATACTTATTATACTATTAACTTATACATTTGTTAATCTCTAATAAAAAAAAATGTTTATTTTATTAATAGAATGCGACAACATATCTGCCAACTAGAAGAACACAATTCCGAATTCAATAAAGATTTGAAAGAGAAAGAAGTCAGGCTGAAAGGTCTAATTCTTCTCATTGTTTTAAAACTATAATAATTTTGGTATATTTTTGATAACGAGGAAATATGGTGTCTATATTATGGAAAGATAGATATATCAAAATATATATATAATGTTCAAAAATTGTAAGAATCGAATCGAATGATTGAGGGTCTAACAACTTGCAAGGAAGCCAACGAGAAAGACATCTCTAAATTGCATTTGATAGTGGAACAATTACGTAGAGATATTGATGCCGTAGATGCCAACCGCAAAAATTTGCTAAACGATGTTAATAGACCATATAAATTATTTTTTCCTATTTTTTTAAAAAAAAAATGTGAAATTAAATAACCCGTAGAGTTATTAAAATGATACTTTCCAAATGTATCGAGATACATTTATGATCTCCAAAAAGTATCTTCTTTGATATTTTAATAACTACTCGTAATGAACATCTGAAGATTATGCTAATATAAAATTCTCTTCGCAGTTTATTATTGCTAGTCTTTGTTTTAACGAAGAGAAGGAAAGAATTTGAGGCCAATTTTTAAAAACGGCTAACTCAATATTTTATCCAGAAAAATAGTCATGTTTAATAGCCTATGACCTAGCCAATTTTTTTAACCTAAAAAAACATTAGCTTAGAACTCTAAGTTGAATCTCAACTCGAAGATTAAGATCATTTTTTTTTAGTATTAAAACTTGGCTAAATTGTTTTGTAGTTGACAAAATTTTAGTGATTTAACAACACCACTACCGAAAAATATTACGCAAGAGCCTGAAGATTTTTCTCATAGATGGCCCAAAGGTTTGGACATCTATTAGCCAAATTTCGAGGCTTCTTCTGGCTAAAATATTCAGTTGGCGGTTTTTTTTAAAAAAATCGACCCGTTTAAACAACATTATAATTATCGCGTTAAAACAAAATTAAACAAAATATTTAAAAGATAAGATCTGAGCCTGGACCCTGACCCTTTCTAAAAGAGGAGATTTTAAGGGTTCTTGGTTTCTAAAATAAAATATTTTTTTTAAAAAAACTTTTCTATTCCCATTTTTTCAAAGTTTTCTGGTTTTCACATAATTCCATTTTATGGGGCAATATTTTGTTTTTTTTAATTTATATCAAATTTTAGAAAGTGAAATACAAGAATTTTCTGTAGTGTATAAAGCAATAATATTTTATTATAAATGATATAGGGGATATGCTTTTAAATAAAAAACATTAAAAATATAGATACTTGTAAATTTTGCATTTTTTACGGTGAATATTAATGTGCTACAAATCCTGAATAATTTTAAATTTTTATGGCTGATAAATGACGCTATAAAATAAACGGCCCGGCCCGTGTACCCGGTCTTAGAGCCGGGCCTGCAGGTCTCTTCATAAAAGTAAGATTTTTTTAAAAATTGAACGAACGTAAATCACGAACGCGTAGGTCAAAAAGGAGAACGCGTTCACGTTTAAAGTTCGTCAAAAATAACATCATTTTTTTTTTCAATTAAACGAACTTTGTTAGCGAAACGCGTTCGTTTACAACATTGTCACATAGTAGTATTAGTAGAAATATAATACGCCATTTTTTTTTAGTAAGACGTGTTTCCAATGTTCCGAAACGCGGAACACGCAAAAATGCCTCCTTCTCACGAAAATATTTAACTTTATTTTATTTTTAAAAAAAAACAAACTAATTTTAATTCGCAGAAAATTGCCTTGGAATCCGTTTGCAAGAGGCAAGAGGTCGCTTTGGCGGAAAAGGACGAAGCCAATAAAAAATTGACAAAAGAATTGCAATTATATACCGACATTACATCGAAAATTAGCCATTTAACCATGGACCTGAAACAACGAAGATGAATATTATTTTTTATAAAATAAAAAAAAGAAAAGAAATTATTTATTTTTTAGATTTAGATTGATATTATTTAATATTTATTAGCGAAAAATTCGAAAAAATAAAGTTGATTTTTTTTTCCTTTCCCCTTTTTCTTACCTTATTTTTAAACTTTGTTTTATTCGAATTGTATCATTTCATTACTAATAACAGTCTTTAGAGACTAAGAGTAGTGTTTTTAAAGCATCTAACTTTGGCCAGTTATAAAACGGCTTAGCCAATTTTTTATCCTAATAAAAAATAGTCTTTATTATTAAGTTGAGGCTAAACTTAGAGGTTAATGATGCTTACTACCTTAAGGTACTACCTATCAAATTTGAATTTTGTTTATTTTTCATTTGGATAGGCATTACCAAATATATTTATAATATATATTTGAAAAATCGTGATTTTTGGAAAGCCTCTATGGCCTAGTCGGCAAGAGCTTCGCTTACTGATCCCATGGTCACAGGTTCGAATCCCGGTATTTCTTATTCTAACTTGGTAGTTCCATCCTTGGGGGATGATATATGGGAGGCCGGACTCGACCACGTGATTCCATTATAATATATTAAATACCACGTGATTCCATTATAATATATTAAATAATAAGTCTTATTAGTCGGTATTTAGCAAATTAGGTTGGTATTTAGAATATTTCCATACATTAACTTGGTAGTAAGCATCATTAACCAAACTTAGACGTTTAAATCAATTTTTTAAGTGATAATTTTGACCACGCACTATTGGAGTTAGTCGTTAGGTTATTTAAACATCAGTAACTAAGAGTATTTATATTTGATGAATGAGCCTAGTATAAAAAAAAAGTTATTTAATTTTTTATTTAAACCAAGCGTATTTATTATTAAGAAATGTATAACATAAAAAATTTATTAAAATATATATTTCTATCGTTTATATATTGTTAAACGGCTCATTTTGAACCGATTTTTAAAAAAACGGCTAACTCAAACACTTCATCCAGATAAATATTACGCAAGCCTTTAGATTTTGCTCATAGAAGGAACAAAGGTCTAATACATATATTACCGAGATCTCGAGGCTTAGGCCCTATTTTTTCTGACTAAAATATTGAGTTCGGACGTTTAACAACACTCGTTTATATAATAAAAATATCTCTGGTGAGATTTGAATGGATCCGTATATTATAAAAATATATTTAAAAAGATAGGTTAAGTTAAGAGCTATATATCTATACGAAAATAAAGAATAATGTTATCATTCAAATCAATATTTCTGTTATTCAACAATATTATACCGTACTAAGATAGCACACGTTTTTTAGTTTGTACCTTAGAGAGCGTGAGGAGATATATATATAGGCATGTCTTAAAATTTCATTTTATTTTAAACAAAACACGAGTATATTTTAGAAGATATATTAATAAATTTCTTTATCAAGGACTTTTTAAAATTCATATTTTTTTTAGATGGAAAGAGCCCTAAATTATTTGAGGTAGAGGTAGGCTGCATTCAAAGTGGAGACGATTTTTACATCCGTTCCGTCAAAAGTCAATCTCATTAAAAATGATATATATGTTCATAGTGCGTCCGTTCCGATACCTTCCTTCTTAAAAACGGATCCGTTTCCACTTTGAATGCAGCCTTAGACCTATACGCCGGAAGTCTAGTATGTTCATGATAATTTTTTTTATTTATAGTATATTTGGGCACACTTGGTTCCAAATTTCCTGCCCTATATATTTCTCATTCTCCGAAATAGACTTTAAAAATTGCTTTTACACTAGAGTCTTAGTCGCGGGATAGGAAAGATATTAAATTGCTACCATATCCTCTTTCCAAACAAGATGGTTTATAAATCCATTTATTACAACTTTTAGATAAATTAAAGCGTTAAAACAAAAATTGCTAAAAATTAAGAATCTTGTTTATATCTCCTAGAAAATTTTTTAAGTAAATTTGAAACTAATATTAATAAATTCAAAGTGAGTTTTTTTTAAAAAAAGCGCTAAAAAATGAAGAAAATATCTTCCGATATTCTCAATGATCCCAATTGGGAGCAATGATAATATTTTCTCTATTTTTTGTAAAAAACTCAACTTAAATAAAGCTATTTCAAATTTACTTTAAAAATTTTCTGGGAAGATATAAGCGAAATTCCCAATTTTTAGCGATTTAGAACGGGAACCTGAGTCACAGGTCAAATCAGAAATATTCTATCAATTTTTATTAAAACAAATTTATGTATAAATATGGAATGCAAACAAAATATAAAGTAAGAAATAAAAATAAATTAGATTAGAGAATAAAATTTAGTTAAATTATAATTTGTCTTAAATTATTTGGGGTGTTATAGATAAAAAAATTTTACGAATTCCATAAAAACTATTAATAATTAAAACAAAGAAGAACACATGAAATCGATTTCAAATTAAGGATCAACGTTCAAGACTCAATTACAAACTGACAGCTGCCACACTCTCTTAGAGCTAAAATGTCAAGGAACCACTCGCTTTCCCAAAGAGTTTGTATGCCATCTTTGCTATAGAATCATTGTTTGGAAGGGAACCTATAAGATCTACATTAGCTCTATGATGAATTTGATGTTTACCTACCATCTTCAACCTTGAACTTCACTCTGCATTTCTATCATCTATAATTAAGTGTTTATAAATTAAAATGATGTAGAATTAGAATCTAATCTTCTGAGACAACCTTAAGATTTTAAAATCTCTGATCAAGTAGTGTCGCTAATTTATTAATAAAAATATTACTATATAGAATAAATTACTTGTAGTTTGATTAGACAATTGAAAGGTTATGGTCTTTTTTTGCACATTTTTATTTAGACAAATGATATCCGTTTGAACTATCTGATCCATTGATTTTTATCTTTTTTCATGGGGAATAATAAACCCAAATTAATTGTTGATCCCTTTTGGGAGAAAAGAAATTCTACAGACTCTGAATAGATTTAGTAATGGAGATTATTTGTCAACCTAGATCCCATTCGTTATTGAAAATAGAAATTTTTTTTTACCTATTTTTAGCACATTATTTATAGGACTCTTGTTGACGCCACTGATACTTTTAACATAATTGATATGTCGTGTCGATAACTATTCTTATATGAGATGGTTATGAATGTCAGAGAGTATTTCAGAGTTCTAATTTCTAAAACAGGCCCAATTTATTTTTAAAGGGAAGGGGGGGAGGCGATTTTTAGCTTGGCATGAGTTTTCATTGATCCTTTTATGGCCCAGCCTTAGTCTTTAAAATTTGATTAGGAGTCAGTAGGTTACTGACAATGTTCCTAGTCAGGAAATATCGTATAAAATGGTCTAAATTTTATAGGGTTGGTATACGCATGCTCGAGAATTCATTTTCGCCTAAGACTTCTCGCAAATTTAAAAAAAAGGCGCGAAATAAATTATAAATGTGTTTAGTTTAAATATCAAGATTTTCTTTCTTTCTTTTTCTTTCTTTCTTTCTTTCTTTCTTTCTTTCTTTCTTTCTTTCTTTCTTTGAATTGTCTATTTATGTACATTGCCATGCTAGTAACATATATATTTATAAGGGCTTGCTAGTACTTACTATTTTATTATTAAAATATTTATAACATTGATTAGCAAAATTAAAATATTATGAGTTTAAAAAAAATATAATTCGTAAATACATTGGTATAATTTCATAATATTCTAAAAAAAAACATTCATTTACATTTATTTTAAATCATATGCATACAAATATTAATATTATCTTGTAAGTTGAATAATTTCCATAAATTACTTAGAACCTTAATTAGAAGTTCTTAGCATGAAGCCACATAGGCTCGTTGATTATAAATTTGGGCCTTGTTTAGCGTGTTAGTTTGGTAGATAATCAACTAATCAATTGTTTTTTTTTGCAAATATTTTCAATTTTTTTTAAAAAAAAATAATAAATTGCTAAGAAAATATCGAAATTTCAAAATATATAACTTTTAGAAATGATCAAAATTTTATAATTAATTTACACGAGGGTTTGCTATAAGATAAAACTCTGGACAGGTGGTTTGCTTTCAAAGAATCATTTAAAAAGAATTAATAGGATATTGCCTAGTTTGTATAATTATGAAGATATTTATTAAACCTATGGCAATCTCCAAAGCGTTTGCCGAATGGGCATATTATAAGAATAACAGTCGGCCCCTGAATACAGTGTCTTGAGAAAATAAATTCAGATAGAAGCAAAAAAATATTAACGTTTTTAGCGTTATAAATAAAAATGGAAAATAGGGGTAGGGGCAGGCTTAGAGGCAAGTTTTGGCCAATCATAATCATCCAAGACTTTCTAGAGAGGAACAAAAAGAATTCGGTAAAATACAGGAATGATGAGCAATAAATTATACCTGGAGCAGGGTTGCATTCGCAGATTGGACAGCCATCTTGATAAACGTTCCCATATATGCATTTCATGCGGCAAAGAGGTGGGCACTTTGGATCTGGTTCGCATTCACACAGCGGGCAACCGTCATCGTCAATAAGGTTACCAAATTCGCAATAGATTTCGCAAACGTAACATATCTTGAGAGTTATCACGTCACTCCGACCTAAAAGGCGTCCGTTTGCCGAAAAGATTAAATTGACAGCTAAGAATATTGAAATGACGGTTTTCATATTATTATTTTTTTTTAGATTATTTTACAAATAATATTATTTTTTTTTAAAGTTAATTTTATTATAATTGTTGGCGCGCGTTATTGATATAAAGAACATGAATATTGATTTTTAATATTTAAGAAAGAAAGAAAGAAAGAAAGAAAGAAAGAAAGAAAGAAAGAAAGAAAGAAAGAAAGAAAGAAAGAAAGAAAGAAAGAAAGAAAGAAAGAAAGAAAGAGAGAAAGAAAGAAAGAAAGAAAGAAAGAAAGAAAGAAAGAAAGAAAGAAAGAAAGAAAGAAAGAAAGAAAGAAAGAAAGAAAGAAAGAAAGAAAGAAAGAAAGAAAGAAAGAAAGAAAGAAAGA